GTAAGTAAACAGCTAACCAAAACATAGTGATAGATACAAAGAGTCGAACATTTGTAAAAAGTTTTTTTACCCTTAGACACCCAACACGATATCTCTGCATGTACCAAACACCTCCTGAGTTACTGACGTAATGGGGGAGTCCTGTCAGCAAAGGTCCTGTCAAACCTCAAGAGCCAGCAAAGCAAAACTGCTCATTTCAAGGAGAGGGTGCCACGACATGAGGAAGACATCCGCTTTAAATATGTATAAGTCCAGGGATCTTTACACACACACTCACACACTCTCACTCTCTCTCTCTCTCTCTCTCTCTCGGCTCTCTCTCTCTCTCTCTTTCTTTCTCTCTCTCTCTCAAATGGAAAACCAAGTTAAAAGATGGTCTCATCCAAATGATACAATCTGCCACAGTATGTTACTGACCAAGATAATGTTGTTTAAACTTGAAGCATGTAGTTTGACTTATGTTTTGTGGTATTATCAAGGAGTTTTGGGGATTGTTTTAACTATACCTTCTCTTTTGCACCAAAAATGCAAACCACTATTGCTGTAATGCGTCATTTTCCATCCTTGAGTTATAAAGTGGAGGTGTTGCCTTTTGCAGGTTTTCAATTAACATCAGCTTTCACAATAACGCAGGAGGTATCTTGCTGCACAGGGCAAAGATCTTGTGGCTCAAGCACGCTGAGATAAAACTGGTTACTGCAGTTGCAGTTATTGCAACTTTGACCCACTCTTAAATGTCTTACGTCAGGAAAAAAAAGCTGAAATGCTTCATCCACGCAATTCCTCTGCACAGAATGACACAGCAGTGACAGTCACTCATCTAAAATGAATGAATTTCCACTCTTATAGATGACAAACCTGTGTCTAAAACAGGTTTGACAGGTGTATTGCCTGCCTCCAGATGAGCTTCCAGTGATATCATACTTCACCAACACCCTTTTTAATCATCTAACCCAAATGCAGTAACAACATCCCTCATCGCTCCCTATGTGTGCATGATTTCCTCATTTGCCACTCTGATTAAAGGTACAACCAACCCCAAAACCTCAAAGCCCCAAACCCCCAAATCTCTGTGAACTGACCACATCAGATGTTTGCCCCAGATGCTTGGCCAACTGCCGTGCAGCAGAGCAGCCTGTGGACTCTTTGGGGCCTACTTTAATGTGTGCTTAAGAGACCGTGGGACCGGGCGAATGCTGCGCTCACTCTCCTCCAAATATCTGCCCATCATTTATTCATTTACACTCCCAGGATGGCCACTGCCGCCATCATCTGAGGACCCCGTCGTCTGAAGTTCTCGGCGCCTCTGTCGCTCAAACATACGCACGCATACGCACGCACGCACATGCACTTTGCGAGGAGTCCCAGAGGTCTTTTAATTTTTTGAGAGTCTATATTTAGTCAAAAAAATAATCGAGGTGGAAAGTTCCATCTGTCCAACACTCTTGTTCCAGCTGCTCCTTTTTAGCAGCAGGCGGAAAGAGGAGGGGGGAAAAAATGCTACTTATCAGATAAAACCAACACAGACTGGATTTTCTATCATATGCATTCTGCATTAGCAGGATTTCTAGATTGAGAGGCATGTTCTAAGTCAGATGCAGGGTCCATTACATGCAAAAAACTGCAAGATCATCTGTGGTTACAAAAAACTGAGAGTACATTTAAAATACTTCCTGAGCTGTGCAGCTCTCTCCACCACTTTAACATGTTTTTTTTTTTGTCTATACAAAGCTACTCTGCTCTCTCTCATCCCTCATTTCAACCTGCAAATGTTGAAGAAAAAAACTGTACAAAACAAAGCAGCTTTGAAGAGTCAATTGAAACAGTAAATGGTGATTTGCACATTTATTATTGATTGATTCATTTTTTTTTTTTTTTACCAAATTCATCCCAGTTTTTACCTTGACAGCTGAATGTCTGTAAATGGCCTGTAAATCACCAAAGCCACCATTACTGCTACTGTGAACCCAGTGCAACTGTATAGCTTGAAACATATCTGGATGACAAATTGATTGAAATGAAATCATCAAACTGAGCAAAGGAGACCATACAAACAACAAACAGACTGGGCTTGCTGTGTAATTTCATTACTTTGAGCAGAGCCTCAAAGGTTAACAAGCTCACAGTGGAAGTGGAGAAGGGAACTGGTCTAAGTTCAGCTTTGATGCAGAAACGAATGCTTTGAATGTCAATGAGCTTAAGAAACACTCCATGTTGTCCTTTTTTTAATTTTTTTTTATAAATATATGCTCAAGCACTCCTCATCCTTACTGGACTCCTCATTTCAAACATACAGGACAGTGGGATGGAAGCCAGGAGGCTAATCCAAACATTTCACAGTATGCAAATCTGAAATGTTCTTTGGGATCTATTATGCAGACATCCAAAACAAACAACAGTAGTTGAAAAGTTTAGAGTCACCACCTCCACTTGAATTTAATTTGTTGCATTGATTGGACCTCGGGATCGGCCCCTGCAACACCCTCGAGGGTTGTTCTGTGTGAGTCGTGAAATCGGGCCATCGTGGACAGAGCAGCTCTGTGCTGGTATAGCCAGGGGGTTTCATTGTGACAACAGCTGAACCAATCAGTTTATTAGCATAGAGCCTCTACTGTTTATTCTTCTAACTTTTTACAAACTTTCTTCAAAGGTTTGAAGCACTGCAGATCTGAATGGCCCAACCTTTCTAGCTGTGTTTCAAATTGACAAGAAAGAATACAATATTTATGTGTAACTGGAATTCGCTGATGGCTGAAGACGGACATGATGACATGTCCTCTAACTAATGCTTAAAGTACGAGGGGCCCTGCCATGAACTTGGCCGTCTGCTGACGCCTGCCCAAGTCACTTGTCATAGATGCTTACAGTTTTCTGCTTTTCAAAACTTTCCTCTTTTTTCATTTTTTTTTTAACTGTTTAGTGTTTGTCCACAGCTACAAGCACATGCTGGGTAGCATGTCGGTTACATTGTATTCAAGCCATATAAAACGCACTTTTGTTGTTATAAATATATTCGATTTTGTCAGAAATGGACAAAGTATTCGGGCCTCATTGTGTAATAACCCAAAACAACCCCGTGTCCGCTAATGAACAGATCAGATCAATCTCGTAACAATGTCTGACATGCAAAAAAGTGGAGGTCAGTACAGCCAAAGCAAGCAACCACAATCAATACTGATTCACTGCATCAGAATTTATTTATAGAAACACTTGCAGCTCCCCACAAAGACGCAAGAGGAGAGCAGAAAAACTGTCCAGCGAATGCAGTTCCGTTCAGAACAAGTTGGCTCGTTAATAGAGCTGCTGAGCTCTGGCACACTGAGCAGTTTGTTCTTTCTGTGTAAAGACATTTGTAGACTTGAACCTTCACTTGTTACAATGGCTGAGGTTTTTCGAATTGGATGGATGGAATCATTTGGAGGGAAAAGGAGTGGCCACAATCCACAATTTTATTTCAAACCATTTTACAGACAAAGGGTCAGAGTGATCAAATCAAATAAACTTGAGTGCATGTGTGTGTGTGTGTGTGTGTGTGTGTGTGTTTGTGTGTGTGTGCATATGTTTGACCCTTAAGCTGACAAGACACCGTACATCCACTCTCTGCAGAGGTATACAGCTAAATAAGTGAGCAGCGGAGTGAAACACCTGCAATCAGGACTAAATTCAATCTCACACAATTGTTCTGTCCAAATTGACATGTCAGGCCAGTGTGTGTGTGTGTGTGTGTGTGTGTGTGTGTTCAGTGGTAATGCTTTTTGTGTCCTGAAATAAGGCTCTAAGGGGGCTTGTTTGTTTACTAGCATGTTTTTTGCTACAAAAAAATTGTACAATATGTTAAAAAAAATAGAATAATATTTAAAGGAACTCATTCACTATTTAACGGCCTAAATAATGCTTTATTTTTAAACTCCTTATTAATTAGTCAACATCGTATTTGCCTGAATACGTTTACAAATGATGCTCATTTACTGATGAGTGCCATTAATCTTCTCTCTAATGGTATTTCTGTTCCTATAAATTCTAAGGTGCATTCCCTAAATTATTTCTCTAACCTGCAGGAAACCTCTTTATAAGCGTTTATAAGGACTTAATTCATAAATATCACAGACACATTTAAATTCTCATGTTCAATAGTTCATGGATATAATACAAAGCCAACATAAAGTATGACAAACTCGCTAGACTTGCATGTACTCCAAATATTGCTCGATTACTAATAACACAACTGGACCTAGAAGTAAGAGAAGGTCAACGAACTTGCTGTTCAGTGCAACACACACACACACACACACACACGCACACAGTACAGATCCCAGTGGGAAGATTATAGAAATATATAGGCTAGCGGTTTTCCTTTGGGGGTTGCTTGCTCTCCTGCGCTGCCTGGTCACCCTGCTTCTCGTTAATCGGGCGGGTACCAGCGCAGCCCTCCACCGTCTGCTCCGTTTCTATTTCAAAACACACAGTCTCCCACGACAGAGACACGTTTGGTGTGTCGGTGGTGGTTGCGTGACTTCAAAACAAAAATCTGTAATTTTAGACCTTGTGTAAGACGCGCAAAAACGATATCAGGCACGGCAGAGCGCATTATGGATAAGATGTGCACAATCAAAAGTGCTTTTTGGGAGAGATGACATGGCGACCACTGGGGAAAAGTCATCCTAAATCGGTGCTTTAGTTTTTTGTGGAAATGCCGGGGATTTGTCAGCCTGATCCAAACATACCGTATTAAGGAGGGGGGGGATCAAATGGCCGTGGCACGCGCTCTTGGAGAGGAGAGGTTGAGTCCGTGGCACAATTTAATTCCAGATGCATCTGTTTTTGCAGCACTGATGCAGATGTATTGTAATAATGACTTAAACACGTGATATGGGATCTGTAAGCCTTTCGAAATATGTTTCCTCATAATTGTTATTATTTTTTATTATTATAGGATTGTCCCTGCACGCTGTGTCTGTTGTTGGATATGTACACAAGTTTCTAAGTGTCACACAACTTACCCTCCATGCAGAAAATTACCATCCAGGCTATCCAGAGGTCCGAGTTATGAAACTTCACCATGGTTCGTTACTGTTCAGTGACTGGTTCTCAGCTTTTATCCCAGTGCCTCCTTCTGTATGAAATCTCAGCTCCGCTCACAGTTTCCTTGGAGAAAAGTAACTGTTCCCTCTAACGACATGAGACGTGAAAGCAGTCTGGGGTTTTTACGCAGCGCACACCGGCGACGTTCCCGTGAAGAAAACAACTTGAAATGTTCAAATGTGTGAATAAAAATAACACAGAGAGCATTTCTATCCGACGGGCACTCGTCTCTCCTTCGGACGCTCTTTATGACCCTTTCCTCTCGTCCTTTGGTCGCTGCTGGTCACTCCAAGACTATATTCTTTTCTACACCTCTCCAGTCCATTTACGCACGCTTGGAATAACTCAATTTCCACCTGCTGGTGAACTAAAATCTGCCCACTGTCGCTGAAAGTGACTTAGAAACTGATCAGAAACTGGCACTTCTCCCGTCCGCTCGGTGACTCTCTCCAACGCGTCTTGTTGCGCTCCATGGTTTCTCGTCTGTTCTGCTGCAGCTGAGCGGACCTGGGAGCAAGCTGCACAGCATTGGAAACAGTACGGCCTCCGGTTGCTATTTTTCAAAATAAAACCTACGTGGAGCAGCTCGGAGTGTAGTTAATAAAACGTGGTGTGGACGTGGATAAAGCGACAAACTACAGTTTTGACAACACCATTGTCATGAGGTGGCAAAAAGGACAGAGCTCAGTTAGGGTTGAACCACTTATACATACATGTGCTCCTCACACTTTCCTGCATTCAAGAAGTAATTTCTCATCAATAAAATAAAGGGGAAATGTGTCAGAAAAGAACAGATTGGTGAAATAAATTAGAGCACCACACTTTACTCCACTTCACAGTAGACTAAAAGGCAACCTCCACTATAGTCAGCCAGAATAAGCCCTGGGGAACAGCGAGAAACTCACCTGAAATCAAAATGCTTTTATTTTGTAGGTGAAATCCACCCGGCTTCCTGTTGCGCTCTGACGGTGTGTGTCTGCGGCTTGACGGCGGATGACTGAGTTGAGCTCGAGCCCGGCTGTTGCTGGGAGACTGCTGACGCCAGTCGAGAGAGAGAGAGAGAGAGACGTTCGTGCCCTCCTGCGGTGCGACCACAGAACGACCGACGGAGAATAATAGACGAGGATATCTGTGGCACTCACATACACAATGTAAACATTTAACATCAGTTCTAGAATATAATGAAGGCTGTGTGTCCCCCCCATGTCCCCCCACAATGCTCAGCCTCTTTGGTCGTCATCGCAGGCCCTACATTCTGAGTCATTTTCATAATTTCTAATGTAAATATCAGTCCACAGTGAGTTCTTCAGTCTGTCTGTCTGTCACACATCAGAGGGAACAACGTGCACAGCACTGCAGATGACCCATATGAAAGTGTGTGAAATACATTAAAATGCATAATTACTGACTGTTGATCTTGATGAATCAAACTTCTGCATGTGAAACAGTCGCACTGGGTGCATTGTGGCTTTGTAAAAAGATCCATAATGAGTTCAAAGATGAGTTTTTAATGAAGAGCAGCATTGGTGGTGGTGGGGGGGGGGCTTATAAGTGACTATAAAGGAACTACGCAGTGATTAAAAGAATCAGCTGAGGAGACCGCATCAAACAACCTGTGCTCAAGCCTCTAATCACTCTCTTCCACTTAGCTCACCTCAGCACTGAATAGCTGCTTATTTTTTGTACTTCACAGGATATCTAGTCGTAGCAGTTTGTTCGCTTTAAAGAAAAAAAGAGGCGCTCAAACATCAAAAGAAAAACATTTGACTGAAGTATTTTTGATTTCTTCTAAATTTGATTTTGACTTGGTGAAAGTGAAACTAGGACATGATTGGAGCAGTGCCCTATACATCCATCCGTCTATCCACCCCTCCATTCTTCCTTCTGCCCTGCAGCTGCCGGCAGACAGTCACAGACGTTTAGCTGTCACTGCAGACAAATAAGGTACAAGTTAGAAGATCCCATCGCTTGGGTCTATCCACCCCTTGCCATTGCTTCCTTCTTTGCCCCTGCATGCTGGCCGGCAAGACATCACAGATTCGTTTAGCTGTCACTGCCCAGACAAATAAGTTACAATTAGAAGATCACCCCGGAGGCCCTCACATTCCCTCTC